AATTACGTTTCGCGACTGACCGGCAAATCACCCGGAGTATACTGTCAATAGGTATTTTGTGTGTGAATGCAGACATTTCTCCTGCTATGAGATACATGTATGCAAGGCCATCTGCTGATATTAGAGTTGATATATGGAAACTCTAGCAACTTAGTTAGCACAGTTAGCACTGTGTCAATGGCTTAGCAGTCCAACACAGTTTACACATTTAAACAGTCTTGTTTGATAAATACACAAATAACAATGCAAACTTACAGGTTGTATACCCAGATCTTCCCCTGCTCCAAACGGTCCAAACAAGCTGTGCATATCCGGCCTCAAACTGGGCAATGTTTTGGAAGCTTTCGTCTGTGAAATGCCGGTTCTTCGAACCTCTGGAGGAGGAACACGCCGCTGCTGGTGTGGCCATAGCTCTTCGGGATTGGTCCATTTCGTTCCGGGTACCGCATGACATCAGGCGGTACCCGGAAGAATCAAATGGGCAGTGACGTATCTCCAACGAGGCGTTTTGGGGAGGTATTTTCTGTGTTAGAGTTTTACTCGCTACAGGGTGTACTTTGAGGGTTTTGACTCTGCACACCGTTTACATGCATAAAAACCTTCATAACACACAAGGGGACGGGTAATAACCGGAAAAGCATGACATGGGAGCTTTAATGTTACTTCATGTTAAGGCTAATAAAAATGACAAGGCTGTAATGCTAACTAACGTGCTAGCTACTAGCTATGTAGCTAACTTGATCAAGCCACTCCTGGTCCTTTCATCAGACGGGAAGCGAAAGAACGAGCAAGACCCATTGCTGGTATGATAACAACCTGGTACTAAGCACACAGACATCTTGTTAAAGTTATCTTATCTTAGCCAGCTGATCTTAGCTATCTCTTAGTGGAGGAAAACAATTGTGACATAACTTACGCGACTCTGGGATTTGTAGTCTTTCTAGTTGCGTATTTTTCATAGTCTTATATTTCAACAGTTTTACGACAAACTCTGACTTTTTTGAGTGGAGGTCCACCGGAAGGGGAGTGACTTCGCCACTCTATAGAGTAGACGCCCATCTACTTCCGGTCCATGGGACCTTATTTCGGAAAATAATGTATTGAAGTCAATGGAGAGAAAAAACGTATCTTTCGATCCCGTTTGAATTGTGCCATGAATTACACATATGATGTTTGTCAATCTTAAAAAATAATTTCCATGTCAAAAAAGTCACAGTTTGTCGTAAAACTGCACCGTGCTCTGATGCTGTTGTGTTATGCTTTATGAACGTGGACAACAGAGAAACATATTCTTCATGAACGAGGTTGGAATTGAAATAAAAAAGGAAAGTGAAACTTATGCTCGTCCCTCTCCCTCCGGTCCACATTAATACAAATGATCCCAATACGTATGATTGTATGAAAAGATGTTAAAATAAATATAAATGTATTTATTATAAACGTTAGTCCTCCATCTATCACTGTGTATATCACCATTCAAACATCTTTTAAAAGTTGAACAAACCCCACACAGCTCAGTAAAGACTGAAATGTTGACTTAATTTGATCATTTCAGTAAAAACTAACGTTCATATTTCTCTTTTTGATTATAATACTGATGAACGTTCAAAACAAAGCACTTTGGCACGTTACCACATACGTTTTAAAATGCTTAATAAGCACCGTAACTTTCATGATATCATTTCTCGGTCATAATCGGTTGTTTCCGTGAACGCGCCGAATGTTGTGTGATGGTAAATGCTGCGGCCGCAAGGCATTGTGGGAAAGCATGTTCTCCTCTCCTTTCGGTGAGGGAGGTCCAGTGGTTCCTAAGCTAAAGGAGGTTATAAAGGAAGTTTCAAACCTCCTTTCCTATCATCTAGAGCAGGGGTGTCAAACTCAAATACACAGTGGGCCAACATTTTAAAAATCGGTACTAGTCGAGGGCCGGACTGGTTCAATGTTTATTGCAAAACTTATAGAAATTAACTTATTGTACATATTAAACCTGGAACTAACAAAGCATAAATGATTGCCTATAAAAAAACATTAAACATTAAAGGTCCCATGTCATGCTTTTCCGGTTATTACCCGTCCCCTTGTGTGTTATGAAGGTTTTTATGCATGTAAACGGTCTGCAAAGTAAAAAGAAAACCTCAAAGAACGATGCTGTTCCTACTTTGTTTGGACCAGCGGGAGATTCGGGTACACAACCTGTAAGTATTCATTGTTGTTTGTGAATTTATGATGTTTAAAACAAACAAGGTATCTACCACGACTGTTTAAATGGGTAAACGTTTTTCGGGCTGCTACGTTGGGATCGCGGAGAAATGCTCTCTGCAGACCCATTCTCACAGCGTTATAAACCTTTTTCTTACTCAATATCAAGCCACACTTATTGTTTTACTTCGGCTGTGAGTGTTTGGTGTGTGCTCAGGATGAGTTTCGCTTGTTCTCGCTGTATCGCCGACACGGAAGCCTGTCCGCTCCTCGCAGCAGCTGTGAGCAGCAACGAGCCTCTCAACGTCTCGACCAATCAGAGCACACTGGGCTCACAGGGAGGGGGGGGCAGGAGCTCCAACAAGCCGTTTAGGACAGAGAGTGAATACCGGTGAATACACATACTTTACAGAGATGCTGTATGAGAAACCAATGTGATTTTGGAAAATTGCACGGTATAAATCTATTTTAGTAGACCTCAACAATGGAATTATGATCAATAGAAATGGCCAAGACATGGGAGCTTTAAACACTTTATCCAGGATAAAAGCCACATAGCTGCACCTGCAAGGTGAATACAGCTGGTAAAAGAAAAAGTGGTGTTGAATGCGTACATTAACAGGTTTATGATATCACTGCCCCGTATAAGACACGAGTGGATCTGACTTTAATTACTGACTCGAGTGTTTCGTCAACTTAATGTGTTGCTTAAAATAATACTTCTGCATACAGTATGTGACACTGTGAGTGTGCATGGCCAGATACGGCTCAAGAAGCTGACTCAGATAAGGAAATATATGATACATTATGATGTGATATGAATGACACATCGACGTCTGCACTCAGTGCCGCGGACTGTACGTAATGTTACTCTGATCCGGTTACTTATATTGTGGCAGATATTTAAGTAAGCTTTCTTAACGCTAATGTTATAATAGTGAGATTGCTCTGAAGATGGGAGGTGATATTCTATTAATGTTCACGTTCACAGTCAGTTTGCCGGCCGTCTTTCCTGCAACAGCAGTTTAAACTGTATTTCCTTTCTCCTGAGCTCTGATTGGTCAGCGGCGGTGCTTTCACTGACTTGATCTCTTAGCCTGCAACCTAACCTGCTCCGGACCAGGCTAGCCGCTCAGCATAAGTTACCATGGAGATCTAGCCCGCTAAAAAGAGAACCAGCGTCGTAGGACCGGAAACCCAGAGTTTTCCCTGAAGTTAGCCCGCTAAGTTTGTACCAAAAGGTACAAACTGCTTCATCAACACTTTGACCAAGATAGATAAACAATGTTTTAATCTTGTATAAATGAGTTTATTTGATCAACTTGGAAAACATGATGCATTTTATACAAAACTAAAAGAACAACACACGTTCTTAAATTATTGGTTTCTTTATTATTAGGTCCACCATTTTGTACACAACAGGAAAGCATGGATTTGATCAACAATATATAGACATATTTAAAGTGGGAATCAGAAGAGCTCATCGTCATCTCGTTATACATCCAAGGACCTGAGGAGAGAGGAGAAGGAGACATGTTCAGATGAGAGGAAGTCAAAAGCAATATCATTCATGAGCTGCTGCACATTTTAACACACATTAACTTCCTAAATTCAGAATCAAGTTTATCACCAGGTACACACAGAGGGATTAGCTCTGGTGTATTGTGGTGCAAACATAAACAACTTCAGACCATAAGTTGCAAAAAGAGGTACAAAATATACATTTAAATACAAAATAACCTAATTACCGAAATACCGGTTACTGGCGGCTAGTACGGTATACATATAAATCAGATCCGGTTTTCGATACTCTCCTTTTTAAATAAAAGTGAGGCGTATCATCGTATCCTTAAACTCGCGCCCAAAACCGTCGAAATTACGATGTCAATTTCACCGTGAAACTCCGCAAACGAGTCACTGTGGAGTGTGGGCCGCGACTCCATTTGCTTGCTCTTGGAGAGGTAAGATACTTCTACATGTTTCTCTGGTCAGGTGTGTCTCTGAAGAGAAAAGGATGACAGTCGGAGGTGTAGCTGCCTTATATACTGTGAGGCCTGCGCGCGCATTTGGGTAGGCTCGCCCTGATTGGCCAGCTACATTTATGTAAATTCAGTGTGAGAACACTCGCGTGTCATTGATGAAGAGTAGTACGCATAGAGTCCAGTAGAGGGCGGAGCCTGTGTGAGATAGAACTGACTCCAACACATTGATTGAAACCGATTTAAAAAGTGAGTTACAAAGAAGAGTAATTAGTAAATAGAGCAGGGGGTGGCCAAACTTTTTTCACTGAGGGCCACATACAGAAAAATATACGAAGGGCTGGGCCCCTCAGTAGAGGTTCATTGCCTCATAAGTTCATTTATAAGTTAGCAAAACCAATCAAATGTAGGTAAATGATGCTCGTGAGTGTTGGCAGCTCATCCCTTAAAACAGAAGCTTCAGATTGATTAAAATAAGGAGGAATAGGAACGGTGTGTTTCAAGCTTGTTATGGAAATAAGTCATTGGGCTTTTTCTTATCAACTAAGATTTGTTAGAAAATGTTTCCAGCTTTATTAGAAAAGTGGTCTCATTAACACATGAATACTACTGTGTGTAATATTTGTACATATGTATTTAAGAAGTACAATATAAGACGAGCACAAGTTTCATTTGTGGGCCGTATTCCATTATACTTTCTTTATCTGCTGAGGTTTGGAGACCCCTGATGTAGAGTCATTTCTGGGGTGAAACTGTCCCTGAGACACGTGTGCAGAGATGTGCTAAAAACACATGTTGTAATGAGAGCATCGTCACCTGGGTCTATAACTTGTCCATGCCGAGCTGTTCTGGAGTGGAGATGCCGAGCTCTGACAGCGTGGGCTACAGCTCCTGGATCAGGTACGGGTCGATCTCTTTGTGGGGGCCGGCTTTGTCCTGAAAGACACAGAGGAAATAACAAATGAAGAGGATGTTGTTATGGAGAACACAGCGTACACTACTTACAGCGATCAGCAATACATATGGACTGAAGCCCTCCTTTAGGATTGGTTTAAACAACAATTAGCATCTAGTAATCAAATAAACAACAAGTCTTTCCATACACAACACATGGGAATACTACGGTGATAATATTGTTCTCTACTTCAATCCATTATATTGCACCATGAGATTATTAAACACCTGCACTTTTTAAAGAACATCCATAAACATTCACCTGTTTGCATCTTGCTAATTATTTATCTAATATATCAGATTCCATGTACTTGTATATAGACTCTTCTTGCACTATTTCTATTCTATTTGTATTTACTTGCACATTTCAAATCATTCTCTCGCACTATTTTATTCATCTTTTACTCAGAAATGTTCCTAACAGAGTGAATTGACCTAGAAGTCTCTCAGTGGGCACCTTGCTTCCCTTGTTGCCTCCTTAAGGAAACACTGGACCATCCTTTACAAAAGATAAGTGTTTATGTATATATATTCCATAGAGTATTATTATTCAAAGCCGTTATATACAATGATACTAAATGGCTTTCATGCAACCAATTAGCTTTACACATTTATGAAACCCTCAAGAAACAACATGCTATGCACGGACTCAAGTATCTAGATGTGCTTTTAGTCGCTTTGTAGTTTTCCCACAACAGAGGCACATCCAAAACACCCTCCGTCTCATCATAACGTCTCCCAGTGTCCTGATGAATTCTCCTTCACTACTTCCTTTAATCCCAGATCATTATGTTATTATACCAGAACAGTTTCATCCCACAGGCCATCAGACTGTTGAACACCTGAGCTTTGGAAAGAACATCCAGAACATTCATCTGTTTGCATCTTATAGACTATTCTTGCACTAGTTCTATTATATTCTATTGTATTTGTATTTACTTGCACTCTTTACTACTTTTGAATCCAGGCTGAAGACTTTTCTTTTGCCGCTGCTTTTAATTGAACTATTCACATCTTACCTTTTATTCATGTACCTGTGTTATTCATGTTTTAATATATTTTTAATGTTTCTAATGTGTTTAATGCTCTTAATGTCTTTCATGTTTGTAAAGCACTTTGTATTCCCTTGTGTTGAATGGTGCTATATAAATAAACTTGCCTTGCACTATTTTATCTGTTTTACTGTGTTTCACTGTTGGAGGAGCCTCAGATTTCCATTGACATATCTAAACTGTAGCTATGTACACATGACAATAAAAGCCTTGAATCTTGAACATTCTCATGGACATTAAGTAAGAGTGGTTAGGAAGAGACATAGGGCCTCATTTCTTCCACAATTCGATGAGTGATCTCACCTTAGCGGCCTCCAGGATACGGATGGCGCTGGCCATGTCGTTCAGTCTCCGGCACGCTCTGAGCGCCGAGTCCACGATCTTAGCCTCGGGCACCAGGTCGTACCCGATCAGGGTGTTCATGCCTTCAGGGTTACATTCATTACAAAAACAAATGTATTACTTCAAAGAATTAGCAATCATTAGCAAGAGTCGTCTGAATTTAAGGTTCATGAAAAATACTTTAAGACAATTCTTGTGGAGAAGATATTCGTCAGCTTTATTGAAGAGACTCAAGATCAATTTTTAAAAGACATACACTTCAATAAATGAAAAAAGGCAGTTGTACCAATGTTTCCACAGAGGTGACTGGTATCGTACTGAGACTAGGATTTGACAGCAGCATAATGACACATTCATAATATTGCCACAAGCCATTACAAAACATGAAATGGGACAATAAATATAATATGCATATCGTATGTGTGTGTCTTTGGTTCTTGAGTGTATTGGACCGTCAACCTAGTTATTTAAAAATGTTGAAGGGATCCTTTTTCAGAGTGTGGTGCGTTCAGGGACCCTCAGTAACTTTGAATATATCTGTGTGTAGTTCAGAGTGTGGTGCGTTCAGGGACACTCAGTAACTTTGACTATATGTGTGTGTAGTTCAGAGTGTGGTGCGTTCAGGGACCCTCAGTCACTTTGAGTATATGCGTGTAGTTCAGAGTGTGGCGCGTTCAGGGACCCTCAGTAACCCAGCTGTGTGTGTGTGTAGTTCAGAGTGTGGTGCATTCAGGGACCCTCAGTCACTTTGACTATATGTGTGTGTAGTTCAGAGTGTGGTGCATTCAGGGACCCTCAGTCACTTTGACTATATGTGTGTGTAGTTCAGAGTGTGGGGCGTTCAGGGACCCTCAGTAACCCAGCT